TCCTTTATTACCAGATGAACATTGTGACAGCACTTTCATGTGTGGGAGTGTGGAGAATTAACCCCTCTAGTTCCTTCTCATGACTGTCTCCCACTGTTGCTTCTCTTTTCTTGGGCCCACAAGATCTGTGTACCATCTCAGGCATGTTTTTTATTTGATTTTCCACCCCTCCTCCATTACCAAGGCCTTAAGTCTCTACTGCTGCAGCCTCTCAAAATTGAGGAAGGTGTCTCTTAACAGGATGTAATCAACATTTTTCTTATGGGGCCATTTGTCCTTTGATGGAGAAAGGAAGATCCTGCAACTTTTTATTCCATCTCTCATTTCTAGTCAGAGCTGCAAGGCATATTAGGTTACTTCTCTTGCAGAATCATGTACTACTAGTAAAAGTTCCTTTAACTCTCTTCAGCCAGACTTACTCTTCTGAGATTCGAACCTGGGCTATCTGCATGTTAGGCAGTTGTTATAACCTCTAAGCCACAGGCTCTCTCTCACTTTGTTAGCTGTCAGGAGAGAGACGGGGAGGAGATTTTACCTTGAATGTGCACCCTGTCAGCCCAAATATGGGAGAAAGAAATCTTCTTTTTCTTTTCTTTTGCCTGTATCAGTATATATATATATATATATATATATATATATATATATATATATATATATATTCAATAATGATGGTGAAAATGCGACTCCCGGGCATAATTATAAATGGAATGAATAAAGCGCGTTCACCAGGAGAGTTTAAAGTTAAAATACTTTAATTAAAGTATTTTACTATATTAAAAGGTTGCCAAGCTTTCGTTGGGAAAACTCCCCAACATCTTCAGGGCTGAGAGAAACGGTCTCTCAGCCCTGAAGATGTTGGGGAGTTTTCCCAATGAAAGCTTGGCAACCTTTTAATATAGTAAAATACTTTAATTAAAGTATTTTAACTTTAAACTCTCCTGGTGAACGCGCTTTATTCATTTCATTTATATATATATATATATGTATATATATGTATATATACATGTATGTATGTATATACATACATACATACATACATACACACTGTATTAACAATTAAGGAGCCAGTTTAGCATGAAAATTATGACGAGGAAAGAAAGGAAAATGTCCTGCCAGAAAGAAGGTCCTATATAAACACACAATCTGTATATAAAACAAAATAAAACTAAGGTTACAAACCAGTAGCTAAGATCAACACCTAATATCATATTTTAATTATCCCAATTCACCTGATTCATCTCCACATTTTCCTAGATAGGTACTACTTCTGATTCACTAGTTTTATCAGGACCGAGTGGTGGGTTCTTATCTTGTAGAGTCCAGCCAGGAGAGATTCTTTTCTCCTGTGATGAAAGAGAAAGAACCCAGACTAAATAGAGAGGAGCCCTCACCTTTTAAAAAGACATGTCAAAAAGAGGGAAAATCTTAATTGACTCTGCCCACTCTTTAAATTGACTTGCCTTTACTTCAGACATCATTTATTCCAGGGGTATATTGGAAACCATAAATGAAAAGTGTATTTATTGCGTATAAGAAGAAGGCTTTATCTAATGTGGAACCAACATTGGAATACCTCCAGCAGGATCCTGACTGCCAACAATATATTTTTGATAGCAGGTTAAAAATGAGAACATGGAATTAGTGGCCCACATGTGGTCTGTGGAGAGTCTATCACTGCTTTAAGGCAGGGGTTCCCAGCCTTTTTGGCACCAGGGACTGGTCTTGTAGAAGACAATTTCTCCATGGTGGGGGGAGGAATGTACAACCTAGATCCCAAGATGTACAATTTCGCTTCCTTGCCACTCACTTCCAGCTGTGCAGCCTGGTTCCTAACAGACCACAAACTGGTATCCATAGCTTGGAGTTTGGGGATCTCTGCTTTAAGGTCTATCACTGCTTCAAGCTTCCAATTTTATTAAGATCTAACTAAAAAGAGAGATGGCTAGAGGCTGAATAATAATTACTTTTAAAACAATGGAGTTTCAAAAATACTTTATAAAACATCATAGAAATTTTCTGCAGTTCAATGCTACTCATTTGTAACTAGTTTAATTCTACCTGGGTTTAATTATGGAATTTCTCAAAAACTCAGTAAGTGATTTCAGTTATGAAGAACTATGCCATGGTGTTCCTTCAACCATATATAATCTTCAAAAAATAAAATAAAAGCTAGATCCCCCTGGATTTCAGTCTTTTCTTGGAAAAAAAAGATTAGGCTTACATGGAAATTATAGATCTCCATTTCACCCCCTCTGATTGCGTAGGAACAATCCCCTGAGGAACTGTAAGTGGGGAAAACCATCAAGAGACATTCTAGCTTCTGGATCAGCCAAGTAGAAGATTTTTGTTCTAAATACATCACCACTGACAAGCATTTCTCTGAATGCAGGACAAAGGAAGATAAGAACATAGAGCAAAACAAAACTGTCATCATCTTTTATTATCTTTTTCTCAACAAATCAAAGGCTCTTCTACAATTTTCAGAGGAAAAAAACCCAGTCTTCCTTTAAGCCAAATAAAAGAAATGGTTTGATAATATCTTAGGGCATCAATCTGCAATTACTGAATGAAGTGAACATAATCACCCCTTTGCCATCCCCTATTCCAGTGATGGCGAACCTTTTAGAGACTGAGTGCCCAAACTGCAACCCAAAACCCACTTATTCATTGCCGGGTGCCAGGTGGGCATGGCCCACTGAGTGGGTGTGGCTGTGATGGTCATGGCAGACTGGGTGGGTGTGGCCAAGGTGGGCGTGGTCACCTTGATGTTGCTTGTGGGGAGGGACGCCTGTGGGGGTCAGGCAGGGTTGGGGGAGATCCAGGGGGTCTCTGGCAGGGGTGGTGGGTAGGAGGCTTGTCCTGCGGGGTGAGGCGAGGCAGGGTGGGGGTGTCATTATCTCAGGGCAAGGCAAGGCAGGGGTCAGGGCAGCTGCTGCCTGACACCATCGGCCCCTGCACACAGAGTCTAGCGAACGCATGGGGGCTGACAGTGTCCATCAGCAGCCACAGCCTGCCGGCCCCTCGACCGGCACACTCTGGGGTTCTGCAGCCCGCCACCAGCAGTTCAGAGAAGTGCCCACAGGGAGGGCTCCTAGTGCCACCTCTGGCACGTGTGCCATAGGTTCGCCACCACTGCCCTATTCCCTAAAAGCTGGGTTTCTAATAAAATTATAGATCTCAGTATTTGGCTGTAGGACTAGACTGAAGAGCCATTTTTAAACCTTGTACTCCAAAGCTGGGTTGAAATAACAGGATGCTTCTTTTTTTCTTATATTAAAATAATATTTGAGTTGGAAAAATATTATACTTTAAGGTGATCTTTTTTTACAGGGTCTCAAACTCGTATATATGATTGTCTTTTCAATTTAACCTTCACAATTACTTGAAGGAGGCTAATCTAAGTCTGTTATTGGTGGTTCACGTATCTCATTAAGCTATAATACCTTTCTGCTTAGGAATGTATTATGTGAACTGTGATAATTATGGTTCATTCTACAAACAATAATTTATTGTGTTTCAGGGCTGCATGAGGATTCTGAATCAGATTGGTACTTCTGAGTTCCAGGAAAATTGAGTCTTGTGCTTTCAATCATGACTTATTTTACTGCTGATTTATAAAGTGCAGAGATCACTTAGTAGTCATAAAGCAGCTGGTCTTCTCCTGCCTGTTTCCACTAATACAGGGGTCTTCAAACTTGGCCCTTTTATGACTTGTGAACTTCCAACTCCCAGAATTCCTCAGCCAGCATGCCTGCTGCACAAATATGTTGTAAGCACCTTCCACAATATCCAGTTAGATTTGTCCTTCTATCTGACAAAAATGGACACTAACAATAGTAAATGTCAGAAAAAGGGACATTAAGTTTGGTAGTACCTTCAAGTTTATGCAAGTTAATTACAGTTTGCTTGTGTTATGGGCACAGACCAACACAGGTCTTCCCCGACCTTCATTAATCAATGTCACAATGTTAAGTACATGATGTATTCTGTGCTAGAAGATCTTATACTACTTTGCAAAGCTAACCTATGCATGTTTATTTCCTGCTATCGTTATGTACCCAGCGCGATTCATAGTAAGATTCAGGGCTTTTGTTTCTCATAGAACGCCCAGAACGGAGTTCGGATGGAACCTTATACGGTAGGCAAGATGGATTGTACGCTGTGTGTGAGTTCCGGCACCTTTTTTTTTTTTTTTTTTTTTAGAAAAAAAGCACTGGTAAGATTAATTAGGATTAACCCTTAACCATCAGAAAACGGTTCCATCCAGGAGGCCCTCTTGTTGCAACTCTCCAGGTATTGCTGACCTACAGATACGGTATTGCTCACGGCCAGGCTTTCTAGAGCTACCGGGAATCGAATTTGCCCAGTATTGGGGGAAGTAGAGATTATCTGTAAGGATTGGGAAGAGATGGGGAGCGTATACCCTATTTCGTTCAATTCGAGAAACATAAAAGAAGGTAAACACTAGTCCCCCCTCTGCACAAACCACACACCTTTTATCTTCCATTGCTTACGTCACAATGCGCTCAAGGCATAACAGTGGAAGCCCTTCACACTAGGAAGCAGGACCCCGGAGGGGGGGAGGAGATAAAAGATACCACTAATACACTTCTCCGAGTCGCAAGGTGCAGCCGCCCTAGCGACAACTCCGAGGAATACAGGTTGCCCAGCTTGCCCCACGCACGCCCTTATTGGCTGCTGTCTCGGAACGCCCCCGGCTTTCTGAGAATGTCCCCCACCCCTGTTGGTGTGTCCGCCCGCCGGCGAGTCCCCAAAGGACTCTCCTCCCCTCCCTCCCTCTTGCAGACTTCTAGGATCCGGACTCCGCCCTGGGCTGGGTGGTGTTACCTACGCAGCAGCCATTAGCCGGGGCTGCTTGTTTGTTTGCTCCCTTGCCAGCTTGAGTAGGGGAGGTTGTCACAACCCCGAGCTCCTCCTCCTCCCCGCCGCAAGCAGGCAGGCTCCTCATATAACGTTTCCTCTGCGAGCTATCGCCGATTAGGCGCAGGCGATTGGAGGAAGAGCGAAGGGAGCCGGGGAAAGGCGGGTAGCAACCGAGCAGCGCGGAGGGCTAAGGGAACGAGAGTTCGGCGGCGGCCGAGAAAGGCAGCTCGTCCGGGAGCTGTTCCGAGCCTCCTCTTTGCCTTGTCCTGCCCGCGAGGCTTCGCGCCTGTGAACACATAACTGGGTCGGGCGCCCTCCGGTTCCCAGCCGTAGTCTCCCCCCACCACACGCGCCTCCCTCGGGCGTGCGACTAAGTTGGTGGCGGGGAGGCGAGGAGATGTACCCGCCGGGCTCCACCTGGAATATCTCCTTCGCCGGCTGCGGATTCCTCGGGATCTACCACGTCGGTGTGGCCAGCTGCCTTCGAGAGCATGCCCCTTTCTTGGTGGCGAATGCCAAAAACATTTATGGCGCTTCGGCCGGAGCCCTGACGGCTACAGCCCTGGTTACAGATGCCTGCCTAGGTAAGGGAGCGCGGGTCATCTTTCCTAACCGGGTGGGGACGAAATGAAAGCGCCCGTCATTCGAGAGGCAGCTTCACTCTCTTCCTTTTCCCGCTCCTGGGCGCTGTCAAGGCGACAATCCCTCAGCCCCCCTCCCCTCCTCCAGGATGCGTTGCTATCTCACGTGTTGGATCGGGAGGGTATCTATTTCGGGAAGAGTCTGGTGTGCCCCTTAGTGCTGAAGTATGAAGTGTATGTGATCCACAAAGTCGGTGCGGTTTTTGTTTTCTTTTCAAAATCAGATAAAAAAACTGGACAGGAAATTTTTTTTTTGTGAAAGAATGACTTGTTTTAATACTTTGCTCATACTAGCGGCGTTTACACTTGTTATCCTAGCTTATTATGAAAGACAAGTTTAGCTGGATTCACACTGTTGCATGTTATACACCACGTAACATATTTGTTCTCAGACTAATATATCTGAAGTAAGCAAATTATATTTTATACATTATAATTATTAAGAATTATTAATGAGTCTAACTATTGAGTCAGACCATTGCAATACCCAGTGCAGTGCTGTAGGTTAAAAAGGTATTTATTTGCTGTGCTCTGATTATACTATGATATGAATCATAGTATTATTTGAGGGAGATAATGGAATGTATGCGTACATATATATACAGGACATAATTCGTCAGATCTGGTTATGAGAAATATACATTGTTATAGTTATTTTATTTCAAAGGAAGATAGGTGGGGAAGAATAAATGTTCTAACAGGTATCCAAACTGATTTATTTATGCTAATGATAGATTCCTATTAAATGTTGTTGTAGAGTAGACATGTTCATTGTATTCAGACTCCAGGAAACAAAGCTATGCCACAAGTATTACATGATGTTTTTCCCACAGCACATGATATTTTTGATCTTTTGTTAAGGTCAGGAATGTAAAATGTTCATAATTGTTGTTTTAAATCATTTGAGGGGTGTTTTCAAGCTTTTCCCAGCAGGCAGCAAGAACTATCTTTTATGGGTCATTTTTTTTCCCTTTCAAAGGTTGTTCACTTTGCAATTTCTCATTGGAATTTCACTAAACATAAACTAAGGGGGAGCCTTAGTTTGCAGTGGTTATATTAGTAGGAGCTAGGTGATGGAAATGTATGCGTTTGTATATATATATAAAGTATATGTTGGCTACCCTAAAGGGTTTCCTTTTTACTTTTGCTGTTTTTTTTTGATGTTTTCTGCCATATTTTCCCAGATGTCCTGTATATCTTGATATGTATAGTGCAAATTTTAATAGATATTTTTAAAAACTTAGATATCTGCTTACTGGGATATCTGGTTTTGTGGGACTGTAGTTCAGTAGGCTCAGAAACAACAAGGGAGTCAACATGCAAATTGCATGAAGGGATTCTATAGCCAATTTTCTCCATATTCTTATTTCTTTTAAGAAAATATTGTGTTTGGCACCATGGTATGGCAGAGGGAGGAGAATGTAGGCCTGTTTACCTCCACTTTTTTTTCCTCAGAAACATTATATAACATTACATAAATGAGTCTCCAGTTGTCTTCTTTCCTCCAGTGCATCCAGGGAAGGGATCAAAAGCATTTGCAGACAAAAAGAAAGATATAAAAAATGAATTCAATCTTCTTCACAACAGAGGAATATAAATCAAGCAAATTAACTGTGTCTATTTGGGTAGATATTGATTAACCATGGTTTGTTTTGATTTACACAGTGACCAAAGATGAGAGGTTGAGATTGTTATTTAATATCTGGATGAGACGGGTGAATGACTACATCAGTCCCATCTGCATTGTTTTTGAAAGAACAGGATACAGTACTTATTTATAGTTAATATTTTTGTAGCTCAAAAGCATGTCTGTTTTTGCTTTGAGAGAAAGATGAGGCAGACCTAAGAAACATTAAGTATCTTGGAGAAGAATTCAGTCTTTCTTTTTTTTATGAAAAGAACAGATTTATTTTGGGGGTTACTAGCAAGATCTGTAGCTCGATTTTTGAGAAGTTTCGTCTTGGTTACAATTCCAGGCAGTATTGTTCCCTTCTAAAACAACTGCTTGTGAACTTTTCCCTCTATCTCCCATGGCCACTGTTATGTTTTGGAATTACAGGATGATCTATTTTTTTCTTTGATGTAGTTAGCTTCCAACCTACTGACAAGTTGCCCATTTGTCATAGAATACTCTGGAAGGTTTGATGCTAATGTGTAATCCTTGTGGTGTAAGGGGAGGGTTACAAATATAGAACAAAGTAACTTTCACTCCTCCCCCCCCCATATTCCTCAATTTGAGAATTATTAAAGGACGCGAAAGAAAACCGTACCATAAGGGAAAGGTCCAAGTAAGAAATTGGTTCTTTGTATACTTCTATGGGGCCTAATGGAATCCTAAGAAAAATTATTCTGAAGTCTGTTGTTTCTCAGTGTTCTAATTTCCTTTGTTATATAAAGGAGGTGCAGAAGGGAATCTTGACAAGCACAAAAGCATCTTGAATTCATAATTCCTGAAAAATGCAGAGGAGGGCATTATTCACAATGGCATAAATAATATCGTATAACAATCAAATGTATTGTGGCAAAACCTCTTTGAGCCTAGTGGCTACTGGATTAATCTATTATTGATTTCATACTGTTTTTCCTAGCAGAAAGAGCTTAGAAAAGTACACAAAACCTGGAATACATATAGAGAGGAAAGCCCAGTAAGAATATTGCTTCCTTGGAAATACTCATAATCCATAATATCTTGGTGACATTGTGGTCCGGGAGTTAAATTCTTCACCAAATGCTGTGAGAAAAACCCTGTTTTGGACTTTCCCCTGAAGTTTTATAGTATATGGACCTGCCATATTTATGGTGGAAGAGAAGAGTGTCATTAATTGGGCAATCACCAAGAAAGTCCTCTCCTAGTATTATGGGCCAAGCCCCTAGATAAAACTGTGAACAAGACCTGTCTGATTTAATCCATGATATTAGGAGAAATGATCTTTTAAGGATTTAGCCAGTAAAACCTTGACTTGCCCCCCTCGTAGGCAGTCTGTACTTACGAGTTTTAAGAATCAATGTAACATGGTCTCCCTTAGCAGCACCATTTATCTATTTAGCAGATTATATCATTTTGTAATTTCTGAAACATCTTCTGAGATGGACCAAGTGAAGCAAATTAGAACAATCCAGTTAATAAGATTATGAAGGCAAGAGTTATGGTGGCTAACCTAGCTTGGCCTAGGCAAAAACAGCTATCTAACTCTTCTCATTGCCTTGAGCAAGCCATTCTGTGTATTGATTTTAATATTTAATACATTATGCTATATTACCTGCATCGACATTTCTGGAAAAAGATTGTTCAGCCTGAAATGCCAGCTGTGACCTATTTTATTCACCAGAAAGTATGTTGCACTGTGACAGGCAAGTGATTTCATTGATCTTTATGATATCCATGTATCATCTTAATCATTATTATACTTTGTTATTGCTCAGTTTACAAAGAATACAGGTGAGCTCCTTTGATAGGAATGGAGGACCTTTGATGGGAATGGAGGGTCTCTGGTATGATACAGGGTTTTTCTCAGAACCGAGAAGAATTTGTTTATCTGTTTCCTATTTCCTCCACCTGCCAGGACTGAGTGCAAGTGCTGAGAAAGCAGAGGGTCAAAACTTGTCAAAACAGCCTCAGTTGTCCAATGTATAGGAAAAGTCAGGTCTAGAGAGTTTTCTTTTCCAGAATTGCTTATTCATCTTGGTTGAACTATTGAAGCTTGCGAAAAAAGAGAGGGAATTAGCTTCTGCAAATAGGAATGGCTTACATCAGGGATGTCCAGCCTTGGCGGCTTTAAGACTTGTGGACTTCAACTCCCAGAATTCCCCAGCTAGCCAATTTTGGGAGTTGAAATCCACACGTCTTAAAATCGTCAAGATTGGACATCCCTGGTTTTAATGGGATTTAAATGCAGAACTGGAAACATTCTTAAATAACTCCTCTGTGATTGATATATTCATCTTCTCCATGCTTTGTTCTGTATATTTAAAATTTTAATGTTAATGTTTAATAATGATTTTTATAGTTATTGTTTTTTTAATTTTGTTTTATTCAATTATATGCTGGCCAGAGTTTCCTTTTGTGAGGTGGGTGGTTGAATAAATTTGATAGATAAATAAATGCAGCAATCTCATATGCTGCCTAATTGCTTAAAATAATAGACATGTACAGTATGCATCCCATTGCCCACATGGACTACAACTTCTGTCATTCCCAGAGTGCTAGGTTGCTGGGGGTGATTAGAGATGTAGTTCATAATGTTATCTAAAAGCAGTAGCTTGGAATGTGACATTAAATACAATGCTCACAAACATATTTTTTAAAAGCATGTGACATCAGAACTGAATGCTATGAGATCTGAAGTTGTTATTGTTGTTTTCCTAGTGTGATCCCACAAGGATACAGTGTCTGCTTGTTTTTGTATTGCACATTTCTGGTTTACAGGGAAGCTGTCAATACATGATGTAGCAATGGTAGTGTCAGTCATTTTGATGAAGAGTCTGACTTTCCCAAGATCATCCAGCTGGTTTCTGTACCTGTGGGGAATTAGCATCTTTGTTTCCTCACTCCTAGTCCAACAATTTACACTGCACTGTCTTTAATGAGAGCTGAAGCAAATATATAAATATGAATAGGGAGAGGTATCAGCAAGACTCAAGCTAAGCCAAGTAAGTAACATTAGGAACCTGAAGTGTAAGCATCCCCAATGAAGTAGCTTCATTTTATTTTTTAAAGTTGCATATGTAGGATGCAACACGAATAACTGGTTATTGGATATTTACTTGCATGTTTTTGACATGCTGCAATAAAAGGAAATGTATATTTAGTTTTAATGGCCACCTATTGAAGTGCATAATTAAGATGAAGCACAGATGGTAAAATTATCTTTTATTCTCTTTGTATTTCCATGGGTACACTTTGCTTAAGTCTATCTCTAGAATGTAGGTTTTCCCCCAGATCA